TTTTTTTTTTTTTTTTTTTTTTTTTTTTTTTTTTTTTTTTTTTTTTTTTTGCATAAACAACACCTTGTCTCTGTATGAGCAGAAAAAAATAGGGATGGAGAGGCTGAAGAAGAGATCTCATTCAAAGTATGTCTTTTTGGTTAAAGTGTTTGGTAATTTTTGTAAGATTGTCACAAAGTTGTGTATATTTAAAAAAAAAAGGCAAAGTAGACATCACGTATTAAATACAGACTAGCTTTGGATAAAAGTAACAAGGACATATTTGGCCTCTTTGTACTTATCTTACTTCTTGCAGTGAGGAATTTAAATACTTATTAAAAAAAAAAAAAAAAGGAAAGGTAAAACTCCCCAGCTATTTATTACAGTTTTCTGTTGCAAAACTCAATTAATACATTTTCAAACTACCTGCATATGTTTTATTTTATAATAATGACGTAATTACCAGTGATATTTAATGGCTAAGACAGTGTTGCAATTACAAGAGCACTATACATTTTGACTTTAGCAGGAATGATTAGCATGTTCTGCATATGATTTCCGTGTTCATGAATTGAAAATGCTCTGTTCAACATAAATCCTTTCAGTTTAATAGTACAATGAGCTTTGTGTAATTTTGTGGACTTGAGAGAAGTACATTAGATGACCCAACCAACATACAATGAAAACGTGGTCTATGAGGGATCAAGGGAAGAAAAAGATTCATTCTAAATGTAACCTATTGTCACAGAAGCAGCTGTGTTAATGAATGGATTATTTCAACAGTATTTTTTGCTGTTAAAGAACATTGCTGTTTTAGGGGTGAGAACTCTTAATGCTTTAAATTATCTCATATCTTCACTTATTTCTAGTCAGAATTTTGTTCCTGATGCTTCTAACACAAGTTACATTCACATTGTCTACGTCTCTCCTTTTGTTTGGATGAATGTTTCATTCCTTGTGTCCCTGCATACTGCATCTGTAAAGCTCTTGCCCTTATTAGTGATCTAACCTTTTGTTTTTGACAGATTTCTCAATGACCTTTAAATAGAACAGCCTTACATAATCGTATAATATTTAAATAAAAATCCTCTAAAAGTATTTAGCTCTTGGCATATTCTTAACTGAGTATTTATTCAATATAATCAAAGCACTGACACTGGAAATATAATACTGCTTAGCTCTGAAAATCGAGTTATGGCACCTAGTGGTGAAATATATCTGGAACACTGTGTAGTATTTGCTTTAGGAAAGATTTATAAGCTGCTATTACAGAATAAAAGTTGAACGTGCTGCCTCATATTTTCCTGTGTCTTACATCCCCCTGCTGATGAAATGGTCTGAGTTAGGCTGAAGAAGAAAAAGAATGAGATTAAAGTGCTGGAAGCTGAGACCTTCTTAATTTACACCTCAGTAAAATGTGTTGCTGCTTTAATCCCAAGCTACTTGTGCAAAGTTTCTGGCTTTGCCTACTAAGAAGTTAAGAGAACTCTGTGTTTTCTGGCAGCATTCAAATATTCACCACATCAATGGAAACTTTGCTAATAAAATCACAGAGATCCACCCATTTCCCCACACTCTTTCTTCCTAATTCCCCAAATGCTAAGAAGTTATCCGAGATCACACTGATACCACGTACATATCTTAACGTTTCTCTGTTGATAACTAGTATTGTGGCTCCTTTTTTCAAGGAAGTTCTTAGACTTATAATGGAAAACAAAAGGGGGAGCATTTTTTTAAAAAGACTTTGCTGAGAAGCAATCCTAAACAGCTTGCATCCATCTTAAATACAATGCCATCTTCAAAATCTAATGTTTCAGAGAACCATTGTGTATTGCTTATATACTATTATTAAAAATGAAAGGTAAAGAGACAAAAAAAAAAAAAGAGCAAGTAGACTTTAACCAGGATTTTGGATAAAATACGTTTAATTTAAATTCCAAAATTTTAGTTGACAGAAAAATATTGTAATTCAACTGGTACCCTTCTGATGAGTAAATCTGTCAGTTCTTGAATATGTAATACTAGATTTTACTTATTTGAGGTTATTTTCTGCTGCAGTTAGATATACTAAAAATAGCTTCTGAACTGGTTGGTTGAATTCACCAATACTGATTTTTGCCTTTACACACTGTTAGGAAATTAGAATTGAGGAAAGAATTTGTTTGACAGTGTCTTCTACTAGATTAGGTCCAGGAACTCAGATTTCCCAAAAATATTTAATGATCATCCTTCTTCCAATATATTGATTTTGGTGGTCAGAGAAATGGATTTGCATGTGCAAATGATATTCATACATGTCTGTGAGAATTTTTCTTCTCCTAGTATGATTTTATGTTTTATGGATATTTTTCTTTATTTTAAAAAGTCTTTTTATTTTGTCATGTGCACAACAAAACTGGTAGGAACAAGAATTCAGCTAAGAGGTCATTGTATGGCTTTAAAGTCAAGAAATCCTATGGAATATGGAGGTGTATTTGCTTTGGGTTTTGAACTGTTTGAACTTTTCCCCAGTCAATTTTAGAAAAGGTTTCCCAGGGAATCTGATATTTCCATTGAAGTTCTCTATTCAAAAACAAGGTGGTGTGAATGATCCCTGAAAGTAATGAAAAATGCAATAAATCAAGAAGAGGTCTGTTTTTTTGACTTAAAAGACTTAAGCATCTGTGTGATTAGCTACACTATAATGATGCAATGGGATTTAATTTCAAGTTAGACTTTAAATTAATTTTTTAGATGAGGTGGAAACATCCTTTTCTTTACTTATTGGAGCTATGACAGTTTTTTCTCTTTGTTTCTAATTAACTAGGATTTTAAAAGAAAGAGTCTTACATTTTTATATATAAATATTTGCTACTTGGTTTCTGTTCTAGGAGGAAAAGAAGAAGTTTGATAAAGAGACAGAGAAGAACTACAGTTTATTAGAAAAACATTTGAATTTGTCAGCTAAGAAGAAAGAGCTACAATTACAAGAGGTATTGTTGCCTCTTTTTTATTCAAACTAAAGGCTTTTGAATAAATACGTGCATCTATGCAAACATAAAACCAGCATTCATAGTAGTAAAATAAAAATAAACTTCTCAACTGGAAAGGTTGGTGAGAAAATCAGTAGTATATGCTGAACTTAGTGATGTACCCCTACCACTTTCTGAATCAAGGGCTTTGTGTGTGTCTGAAGCACCGACCATGTTATTTTTCATATATTTATATATGGGAATATCAAAATGCAGCCATATTGTGAAAAACTCTGCATTTCTTATAAGGCTTTACCATGGATGTAATTTGCATTGCAGTTTAAGTATTGACTAAATGTCCTGTGATAATACTGTGTGCAAAGTACAGCAAGACCTCTATTCCTGAAGAAAAACGAGTTTGTGCTTTTTCTCACGTTTTGAAGATTTGTTTGGGGAATTTTTGAGTAATGCTACAAAAAATTTGTTGACAATTTATAACTCAAAACCAGATCTGTTTTGCCTGGCATTCCCTCTGTCCCTCTGGGTTTTTTATCATCATACTTACTTGTA